ACACTTCTAGAACTTCCTGTCCATATGGTAGCTACATGTGGCTATTTAAATTTAAATAATTAAAACTAAATACAATTTTAAAATTCAGCTCTTAGTTCTAGCCACATGTCAAGTCCTCAGTAGCTATGTGTGGTTAGCTATAGCTAGTGTATTGGTTAGCTTGGAGTATAGCACATTTTCATCATCACAGAAAGCTTTATTGTCTACTGCTGTTCTGGAAGAAAACAAAGGAGAAAAATCTTTGGGATCTTAGTTAGACAAAGACTTCTTAGGACACAAAAAACATGAACCACAAAAGAAAAAAATGATAAGTTCTATCAAAATTAAAAAACTTTGGATCATTGAAAAGCTGTGCTAAGAAAATAAAAAGATAAGCCATAGACCAGGAAAAAAAGTATTTGCCAAACATATATTTGATAAAGAATTGGCAACCAGAATATAAAAAATGAAACTTTAAAAATTCAGTAATAGTAAAAGAAATAAAAAGGTAAGCAAAAAATTTGTACAGACACCAAAGAAGAGATGAGGATGGCATATTTTTAAAATTTTAAAAATCTTATCCAGGTATGTATTAGCTTGTTTCCCTCCCCCATCAACAAGGAGTATTGGCTGGGAAGTTTATGGTCCAGTTTTGTTTTCTTTAAATTTAAGTGGGTCTTTCTTACTTTTAAAGGGTTAGTTAATCCTCACAGTTAAACTGAGGAAAATAAGATTGTGTGTGTGTGTGTGTGTGTGTGTGTGTGTGTGTGTGTGTGTGTCTGAAAAAGCAAACACATCTGTTTTATAGTTGCTTTTGGTTGTCCAAGAGTATCAATAGTGAAGTTAAAAGCAAGCAACATAACCATCTTAGGCGATCATACATAGCTTTATCAGCTTTTATGATTGGGTTAATGAGCTGACCTTTTAGCCTATTTGGACCATAAGAAAATGTGTTCTTCCTAATTGTATTCAAATCAGTTAAGCTTGAAAACAGATGGGTGATTTGCTGTTCTACTCTTAAACCTAAGTGCTTGCCTAGATTCTGCTGAGGCATATATGGTAGGCAGAATAATGGCCGCCTTAAAGACGTCCACAACCTAATGCCCAAGCCCTATGAATATGATATGTTCCATGGCAAAGGGTTTTTGCAGATGTGATGATGTTGAGGGATTTGACATGGGAAAACACAACTGGCCATTTCAGGTTTGGAGACGGGAGCCGGCCACAGTGAAACTGGGGCTGCCTCTGGAAGCGACAAAGGCAAACAAGTAGATTCTCCCCTAAGGCCTCTGGAAGCAATCTGCTGAGCCATTTTAGACTTAGCCAGCCAGAAGTATAATTGTGTTGTTTAAGTCATTAAACTTTTGGTAATTTGTTATGGCAGCAATAGAAAACAAATGCGGTATAACTATAGGACTGTCCATTTGCAAGTTCTAGCACACAATTTTTTGTAAGCAGGAGCACATCTTTTTTTTTTTTTTTTTCTTTTAAGTCTTGTAGCCAGCCCTACAGGGCTCTCCAGTGAGCATATTTTTTTTTGCTCTTACGCTCCTACTCAACTCTGTCAAATGGTACTCAGTTCCCAAAGTGTGCACATTGCGTGTGCCAAAAAGGATAAAGGTCTTGTGATGCAGCCCACGCGTGAGCAGTGCTTCTCAGACTACGGACTGTGGACAGCCTGCATCAGAATTACCTGGGGAGCAAATGAAAAATGCAAATTGTTGGGGCACCTGGGTGGCTCAGTCAGTTGAGTGTCTGACTTCAGCTCGGATCATGATCTGACGGTTTGTGGGTTTGAGTCCAGCATTAGTCTCAGTGCTGACAGCTCAGAACCTGCTTCAGATTCTGTGTCTCCCCCTCTTTCTGCCCCTCCCCCACTCACGCTCTGTCTCTCTCAAAAATAAACATTAAAAAAAATGCAAATTCTTGGACCTGGCCCTTTTACCCCTCAACCCCACCCCCCAATAGTTTGTAGAAAATTTTTGGTCAAGTTTACTGAGGTATAATTTACATATAGTAAAACTTACCCCTTTTAATAGTTCTATGAATTTTGAAAAGCTTATGTAGTCATGTAACTACTAACACATCGAAGATCTTTCTGTCACCCAATATATTTCCCTAGTGTCCCTTTGTAATAAATCTTCTTGTCATACCTCCTGTCTACGGCAACCGCTGATCCTGATTTCTGCCCCTGTCATTTTACCATTTCCAGAATGTCCTATACCTGGAATGACACATGAATGTAGCCTTTTGAATCTGACTTCATTTATTTAACGTAATGCTTTTGAGATTCATCCATGTTGTATATATGTTCATATGTAAATGAACCATAATTCTTTGTTACCTAAAATGGCCATAACTTCCTTCTGTTACCTAAATTGTGTTCTGTCTCTTCTGGGATAATCTGAGAACTGCTGCAGTCCTCCACGGATTGTGGAGGGAGGGTGTCTTTTAGGGTTGTTAGAGGAGGGGGTATGGTGGAGAGAGGAGTGTGGGAACACACGTGAGTCTGAATTTACACCTTCATGGAAAGAACACAGTCACATTAACCTGTTACAAAAATTGAAAGAAGGGAAAGATGGGGTTACTTGATTAGAGAGAGCCGTAGAAGATGGTTTAGAGGTGTGGAGCAGGACTGTTGGAGCCAAAGAGTTAAAATAAATGGTTAGTTGTAGGATTAAATGGTCAATTAGCAGTAGAAGGAGTAGTGCCTGATTGTTCTAAATAGAACACCCTTTGGGCCACTGCTAGATATTCCTTCTTTTTTGAAAGACTCCTAGGCTCCAAAACCCTCAAGCAGATTAAGTGAAGATTTGCAGAGTATTTCCCCCCCATCAATGTATTCAGCCCCTGTGTTAGGTGCCTGTGATTCAGAAATGAACTAGTGCAGCCCTGACCCTTAAAAACTTTTACTTTCCTTTGTGTCCCTTAGGATTTTTATCTGGTATGTGGAGCTCTTCCCCCAAAGAGGTGGGCAAGGAAGAAGTGGAGGCCCCAGCATCTTCTCCGCAGGCCTGCACCTGGAAGCAGGGGCATAGAGAAGAGTGTGTCTGTGATCTGCCATGGATTCCCAGGTCTGATGTTTTGGTTTACCTTTCTGAATTGGTTTTTTTCTTCTATAAGATAGGGGTGTACAGGAAAGACAAAAACGCTATTTTTTAATTTTAATTTTTTAAAAAACACAATTTATTGTCACATTGGCTAACATACAGTGTGTAAAGTGTGCTCTTAGTTTTGGGGGTAGATTCCTGTGGTTCATCACTTACATACAATACCTAGTGCTCATGCCAACAAAAAAATGCTATTTTAAAAAGCTGGTTGCTTTTTGAGTTGGAATCTAAGGACAATAGAATTAGAGTCTTTTTCTTTCTTGGGGTGGTTTTTTTTTTTGTTTTTGTTTTTGTTTTTTGTTTTTTGTTTTTTGTTTTTTCCGGTTTGGTCAAGGTAAAGGGCTAATTGAGATAGGAGTGGTTAGGACCTGGGGACTAAAATTGCTCTGCATAAAGAAATAAGAACTTTTTGTTTTTAATTGAGGCTGGAGGGAAATTTTTTTATTTTGCTTTTGTTTGGGCAGGAGTGGTGAGAGAGTGGGCCCTAGCAGTAGGGTAGACATGAGAAGTTGCTCCTCCAGTGGCGAGAAGGAAGGGGGCGTGAGCTTTGATGTCTGATTGTCTATTTTAAGTAGTTTCCTATTCGCCATTAGAATCTTTCTCTGGTAAAGATGTGCTCGCATGACACCCAGATGTTCATGTGTTTTGGAGACTGAATAGAGAGGGCTGAATCAGCAGTAGGGGTGAAGTGAAATAGAAGGGAGATGATGAGAATTGGGTTGCAGTTGGGGTTTAGGATCAAAAGTAACAAGGAATCATTGGGCACTTTTTAGCACCCTCCCTAGGATCCTTGAAATCATTAAGGAGAGGGCTGGGTCCCAACAGTTATGTGAGATCTGGTCTAAAATAGGCATTTGAATGTTAAATGAAAGATAGTATACTTTGGGAGCATGCAGATATCAGGGAGAATAATCTACTGACCAGGGTTGGAAGGTGTAAATGTGGATGTAGGTGAAGGCACTTCATAAACTAAGGAAACACATGATCTTACACAAGATAAAACCTCTTTCCATGAAGAATATTTTGAAGTCAGATTTGAATTCAACACTGATCATGAATATAAGAATAATTATCTGGAAGTCATGAGCTATGATAGTTTTCTTTCTGTGTGAAGTCAGTTCAGACTGATAGTTAAAACACAATTTGGATGTTAGAGATACAATTTGAAAAAATGGCTCCATATGACCCAGTGTTTCATGTTAAGATGTGAGATTTAGGATCCCATGGTATATCAGGCCCATTTAGTGGGAACAGAAAGCAGCTTTGGTCATTTAATATTTAGCTGAGACTATGGATAGGTATGAGAAAAAGGAAGTGATGATGTTGCAAAGCAACGGGAAAGAGCATGTATAGGATATATATACTAGACACTCAACATATACTGTCTTTACTGCTCATTCTTGTCCAAAGAAGTGGTGATACGTCCATTCTTTAGATGGGGGTGGGGGAAAGGTGACATTTACACTGATGGAAGGATTTGCTCCAAGTTATAGCACTGAAGTGGCAGAACTCCTGCAGACTGTCACCAAGGTCAAGGTCCTTGTTATGTTCATCTCACCATGCTGCCATGTGGGCTCTGAATACATCAGTGCTTAGCCTCCAAGCCTTGTGTGCTTCCAGACTCCTTGTCCCCGTTTCACACCACATCTCCATTGTTTTTCTTCCTGAGAATTTTTATTTTATTTTTTTTTTTAATTTTTTTTTTCAACGTTTATTTATTTTTGTGACAGAGACAGAGCATGAAAGGGGGAGGGGCAGAGAGAGAGGGAGACACAGAATCAGAAACAGGCTCCAGGCTCTGAGCCATCAGCCCAGAGCCTGACGCGGGGCTCGAACTCCCGGACCGCGAGATCGTGACCTGGCTGAAGTCGGACGCTCAACCGACTGCGCCACCCAGGCGCCCCATCTTCCTGAGAATTTTTAAAGAAGGCTTCTGACAAGACTTGATGAGATGCTACAGCTGACAAGCATGTGAAAAAGGATGAAATAACTTGAGGTCTGGAGTGAACAGTTACATTCCTGGATTGTTGAAAGGCCCATTCTTTACATGGGATCAACCATCTTTGGTGAGGTAATGACATAAGTGCTGGCAAACTCTTTCCATTAGTGGTTCTTGCATACAGTATGCACTTCTTATGTTGGGGGCTCTTTTTTTTGTTGTTGTTGTTGTTGTTCAGAATTCACCTTAGGGGTTTTCTCAAACTCTGCATTCTTATTCTGTAGTGGTTTTTAGCTTTCTTTTTTCTTTCCAGGCTGGGTGGATGATGCAGTTTCACTTCTAGGTGTTAGGATTCTCTTTCACACTGGTTTGTCATGACCTTAAAGTATTTTAAGTTTCTCCTTTGGTAAGTTTTTCTTCCTTGTCTTTTTTTTTTTTTTTTTTTTAATGTAGTGCCCCAGTAAGCTAGAGATTTGTTTTACGAAATCGGTTTAAAATGCCAGCGCCTGGAGAATTTATATTCCATAAGCATTGTTGGAGTTGACAAATGTCAAAACTCACCAGGAATCTGCCTTTGTATTTTATTTTGGCAGGTTTTGGGGTCCAGACTAGAAGGCTAGTTAGGGTTCTGAATTGCCTTTAGGTTGCAGGAATTGCTAATGTGATATATAATACCAAAGAAGGAAGAATGTTATGATCATAATGGTCTTGATTTATAGTTGCCATCATAGCTCTCCCCAGTAGGTAACTGATGAGGCCTAATAGTCGTTTTGAGCTGCAACCACCCACAAAAACCACACACATGGCATTTTACTCAAAACTCTACTTTAACCACTACTTTGTGATGCAAAACTGGTGGAATTTTGGGTACTTTCTGTAAAATTGAAATCTTGATGGGGGTTTTCCAACATTCTAGTTGATTGTTAGCAAATTATCAGTATACTGAACAAGAGCAAAGAAGGGTTTGCTAATAAACACCTGCTTCTGTGGTAAGATAGGATGCCAGTCTATATCTGAGTATTTTCACTTGGAGGAAGCTACCTTCATTGAGAGAACAGATTCTCCTTTTGAAAAATGCAGTTGAGTAAGAGGTATTTACATGAGACCTATAGTTGTAAGAGAGATTTTAGAAGCTTCTTGTCTTTGCCACAGTTTACAGTGTTGACACAGTATTCATATTCAATATTTTCTAACTTGTAGATCGCCTTGTAAAAAAGATTTGAAAAGAAAAGCAAATCAATTTGCACTGTAGGACAAAATGCAGTTCTCCCTAAGAACTCTCTGTGGAGGGAGAACTGTTAGGGGAACTGATCTCTGATGAGATACTGCAGCCCAATTCTGGAAGACAGGTAGCAAGTGGGAAGAGCACTTTGTGTGTTTGCCTAAGTCAGGAGATCTTTGTTTATTCTGGAGCTGAGTCCTTAGGCCAATTACTTTACCTAAGTCTCCATTTCTTTTTCTTTCTTTTTTTTGAAAATAATCTCTGTACCCAACATGGGGCTTGAACTCACGACCCTGAGATTGAGTCGCATGCTCTACTGCTTGAGCCAGCCAGGCACCCCTCTAAGTTTCAGTTTCCTGTCTTTATAATTAAAGTATCACTCTTGCTGTGTGCTTTGGTGGATACAACATATTGTCTCAGGAGTCCTTTGTTACATCCTGTGTTATGTAAAGATGACTTTTATTGCCATAAAATTTACATCTTCTATCAAGCACATATTTTTTAGAATCTGTAAAAACATTATTTTAGCAAAACCCAGCTCTACTTTTAGAAGCACGTAGTTCTGCCCCTTTTGTATGTAGTAGTTTTGAAGGAGTAAATTTCCATCAGTGCAGCCCAGAAGTCAGCCTTAAAATAACTGTCAGAAACTTTCAGGCTATTTCTCATTAATACATTGTCATGCTCAGGAGGACAGAGAAATCTAAAATTGAGTTTTTAACAGGTTAATTCCTTAGTTTACTGTGAAGATCTTGATGATTTCCCACCAGCACATAAGTAAAGCTTTGTTTAGTTTGCCTCACTGCATAGACTGTTGGTTAGCTTCCAGAAATAAAGCATGCTTGTTTTATAATTTATGTTAGGAAATATTTAAACAGGATGAAAGAACAGTTTTTATAAGACCCAACTCAAGGAATCCATTTTCAGAAAGTACAACCAAATAAAAAAACTGGCTGAGTGAAGAACAATGAATAAGGATCATGAACTTGGAAACAAACCAATTAAGTTGAATGAAATTTGTAAAGAATGAAATAAAAGAAGTTGCATTTTGTATGTGTGTGGGGTGATTAGAACAGAGTTCTAAGAAAAATTTTATGGGATGGAATATCATTTAAAGCTTTAGGATCCAGCAAAGAGTAGAATCTTCATTTGTAGGGGGTGGGGGGAAAGAAGGTTTATCACCACGGTTTTATATACAGAAGCAGCAAAGGTCAAGATACTGTAAATGTTAGAAAAGTGTAATGGAATTTCTCAGACCCTTTGACTTAACAAATGGTTTAGTTAAGAAAATTGGCAAAATCTTGAAATTTGGATTGGGGCTATAGCAGACTTTTACATTGAAGGCCAAAAAGACTTTCTTGTGTATTAGCACTGTATTACCACATTTGTTACTCAGCCTGATAACACCAGACAACTTTGAAGGTGACTTGGACCTCCATCATTGAAATGGAAGTGTTGAAAAAGCAACATCTGGAGAAAGGTGAAATCACAATTACACATCAAAGGCCATATAAGTTTTAACTTTAGATTTTATGTTTCAATTATACTAGCTTTGTGTTCACGCCCAAACTCCAAGGGTAGGATCTACCACATAGAGGGTGGAGTGGCATTCCAATTCCATTTATTTTCTGCTGAAGCTGGCACATTGAATGAAGATTTATATCTTAAGTGACAGGATTCAGACGAAACACGACAAACCTGTAAAATCTGCAACGTGGACGTGTCAATGCAGAACTTTCCAATGAACTGGATGGGACCAGGAAGACAAACCACACACACTGTCACGTTGTGCTGGGCAGCATGACAGATCAAAGAGAATCCCAAGGAAGAGCAAGTCCTTGCTGGCTGCAGTGCACGTGGTGGGGGGTTCAGCACAGACTGCTGTTTGGTTTACGGATTCAGGTGTGCGTCTATCTTGGGCCTGCCTTTTTATGGAAAAATTTTGTGGAGATACACTGCACTGACTGGAAAATTATTCACTTGTTTTTTAATCAAATTTATCGAGTGGAAGCATTGGTTATGAAACTAGTCATTTCACTGGACTTTAATCCTGACCTAGTTGCCAACAATGGGTGGTAATTATTATTATTTACCAAAGCATAGAGAGAATCTGTGTTAAAAGAGCAACCCAGGCAGGCACTGCTTTGGGGAGGGATACAAGTTTTACCACCTTAGGAGAGATGAATTAGTTTTGTGAAACATCTCTGATTGTCTTGCTGAAGGACTCCAACCACTGGACATGAATAGAAGCGTGCGGCAACTTTGTACTGCAGACAGCAAGTTAAAGCCCCCCGCTCCCCCACGCCCAGGAAAGCTCAGGAGTCAGGGGCCTCAGCGGAGCACACTCCTGACTTTACCACTGTGTGCCATGGTGCTCCTGACAGCCTGGTTGGCCGTCACTCATCTAGAAGAATGAATGAACCTCGTATTAAGCGCTCCTCGCTGTTGGTTCAAGTAGATCTCCTCAGAGTTCTCACTAATCAGGTAAGCATCTTCTGAATTAATCTGGTGACCAAACCAGTTGTACTTTAAATTGGTCCCAAAGAAAATATGTAATTGGAATAGCTGTTAAGACACAAAGAAATGCCAAAATGAAAGCCACCAGTCTGCCACTGTATTCTGCATCATTAAATATTTATTTTTATATATGCATTTACAAACTTGACTCATTTCAGAACTCTGCTTTCAGTACATTTTTAAACTTTTTGCAGAGAGATTCTCTTGTAAAATGAGATCCATGTACAAAACTAGGCGGCAGATATAAAAGTTTCCTTTCATACTTTTCATCCATCAAGGAAAGAAATCATGTGACAAGGAAATAAAACCAAAACGTGGCTCTTTCACAAGAATAACATGTCAGTGTTCAACTAGGAGTTCTAATGGGATAGATGATATTTCCTCTTTATATGGATGTATATACTTTAATACTTCTTAGCTACTATAGCATGTTGGTTCAGATGAAGAAGAAAATCTACTGTTTGGACTAGATAATCTAGACACCATCAATTATCCATTTCTTTATAATGTGACACCAAAATTCACCTAGGAGATGACATTGATTGGCCAGCAGTGTGCATTTTTTCCAAACGTTGCATCAAAAGTTCCTTTTAAAAAACTCATTAACTTCACAAGCTAAAGTCTGAGCTTCTAATTTAGCTCTCTTATTTAAAGAAATAGTTTAAATGATCAGTTCAGAAGCTTAAAATTATCTTTGAAACTAAAGTTGCTTTTCTCAAAATGAATGCTGACTTGGAGCACTGTCACTATGAGACAGAGGCACTAATGCCACGAGCAACGAGAAACAGTATCACCACAGGATAATTACATGGTACAAAATGCCCAGGGGCCTGAAACTCACTATTAATATGATTTTGGCAGCAGCATCATTTGATATTTAACCATTTATTACATAGTATTAACACACCAGCTTCAAAGATGTGCACTCCCTTTAGGACACTCAGGAGTTACAAATTTATTGTGATTGCATAATTCGTATTGCACAGTTTTATAAAAAACATAAATACTGGCTATTCTAGTTTTAAATACAAAATACATGTCATATAGTTTAAATCTATAATCTGGTTCAAGTGCAAATCAGGTGCTTTCTTTAGTCCTTCCAAAAAAGGCATTTTTAATATTTTTGGCACAAATGAAATTTCATCATGCCAACAATTCTAATTACAATACATATATCCAAACCTTTAGAGTAGCAATCATATACATACAGTATAAAACTGATTATTTACAAATGTACTAAGCATTACTGTAATCTTTGTGGGTGAACCAGAACTAATTAGCCATACCCACACTAATGATCATTAAAAAAGGTAAATAAGATTCCTTAATTTCATTTGCTTATGCTGGTTGCTGTGGGTTGACATTCATATGAGGAGGATGTCCTAGAAGACCAATTCTTTGTTTCTGCTTCCTTTGTTCTGTCATCTGGAAAGTTAAAAAGTTTCATCATTAGACCCAGACACTTCCTGTACGTCAGATCATATACTGAACCATAGATTTACCTCTGTGGTTATGGTTTATACTGAAACCCACTTTCTACAAATAGTGTACCGTCACTAAATCAAACACACAGAACTTCAAAAGGGACATCTTCCTAGGCAGAATGGGGAATTCTGTGACCTAGTCATGCAATGTGGCATTCAGAACTATTGCTATTTGTTCATAAGGAAACAAAAAACGGTAAAAGCACAGGATTCTTGATTGTTTATCAAATCCATTTCCAAATGATTGAAAGGTTCATTGGAAACTGGTGGCTTTGTATGGTGGTGTCAGGACACCAAAACTATCAAGAGAAGCAGTGTGTTGAGAATTCTAGGTTTGGCAGGATTAGATCCATGAGTTTCAGGGGTTCCTGATTCCATTACTCAATGATGCCAGAGTAAACCTGGTTTGAGAGAAAAAAACTATATAGTTCACTTTGGAAGATGAAGAATGTCCTCACATCTCACTGAGATTCAGAGTGACTAAATGCCATAAACAGTGCTCTGGCACTCATTGGGGTCTACTCTTTGCCACCCACAGACCCAGGACTGCTTAAGGTCAGGAGAGACCTTTCCTGACACGGGTCAAATGAAAAAGTGCTTTCAAAACGCCAAACAAGAGGTTGTGACTATTCATTTGGCTGCTGAACTAAATCACGTCTCATATTGATGGGCAGCTAGCTCTGTTCCAGGTATTTTAGGGCACATTTAGTTCTCTGCATTAACATTTTTCTTAACCCGGCACGTCCTGGCTCTGGATTTGATACTGGGCATTTACAAGGAGTATTTGCAAAAAGTAGCTTTTTCTAAAGAATTGAACTAGGATATTCCAGCTAGCCTCTAAAGTTTCTCTAGATGAATGACAAATCTTTTAAGTGTTATATATTCCACTACACAGATTCAGCTGAGGAAAGAGAACCTGATTTTGACACATGGGATAAATTCACAATTAGATTACAATATAATCAGTAATGCAATAATCTTACTGTCTGATACTTCACAGTATGATCCCTTAGATCCTCCCCCTCTCCCCCAAGGGAAGGGGACACACACACACACACACACACACATACACACACACTCACTTTGACTCTCCCATTCCTTCCCCTTGGCAGTTAACCCACAGAGGGAATCCAATGTTAACAATCTCAAGCATTCTAATGGATTTAGGAATCTTGGTGGCCGCAAGCCCTGTTGATGGCTACTTTATTTAAATATTTGCTTAAAGTTACTGAGGCCTTTCAACCGTGAAAGTTGGCTATTACAACTTTTTCTGTAATTTTTCTATAAATTACTTGCATTTGAGATGTTTGCATATGTGTTCATACCTGTGGGTTAAATCAGCTTTTCTTAACTTTTCAATCTGTTGGTTATTCAGTCATGCTCTTAAATATAAAAGCCTCTACAACTGTATTTCCTGTAATAGACGAGTCTTCAGCTGATGGGCACACCACCCTTCCCACTTCTGTCTACAACTATCACTTGACACCTCATTGCTGGTCCTATTCTAACTTTCTAGGTTTGCCTTCCTAAGATAATGATCACATGGCCCACCCTCCCTCTTAAACCTTAAAACTCCCTATTGGTTGTAGGTTAGTGGCCAAATTATTTACTCAGGCAGTCCTATTCCTGGTAATTTCAAGTACCTAGTATATACCTATCTAATTTTGTTTTCTGTTTCTGTAGAATACTGGTTCTTTAACTTTGGCAGGAGCCAGAATCACACAGAAGGTTTGTTAAGACACAGATCAAAGGGCCCACAAACAGAGTTTCTGATTCAGTAGGCCTAGGGTAGGACCCATGAATCTGCACTTCTGACAAGTAACAAGTGACGGTTATGTTGCTGGTCTGGGACCACACTGATGCTTCAGAAGAACTTTCCACTGGTTATCTCGGAAAGTGGCCAAAGATCACTTTAGGTGTATTTTCATATTCTTGAACATCCCAAAAAATTATTTTGGGTCCATATATCCTCATTTTTCTCAAAGAAGCTTAAGATCCTGGATAAGATTCTCTACAGTTGAGTACACAGTAGGCACACAAATTTATCTGAATTCTGTTTTGATCAACCATGGCCTTTTAAATAGAATATCCTTTAAGTGACTAATAAATGAGAAGAGGGCAACTGCTAAAGGATTTAGCCCTTGTGACAGTGGGCATAATCCAATGACGACGATAAAGAAACAAAACAAAGGTGTCAATCTGGCCTGTAAAAAACCAAGCTCAACACTGCTAGCCAGTTAAGTTTCCCTGGCCCATTAGTGCATATTCTCACATAACTTTTGGCTTTATGAGCTCAGTTCTACCTACCTACCTACATAATTCACACATAAACTCTTCATGTGTGTGTGTATAATAATCTTTAAAGCATATTATCTGTTGTTGTTACCTTTATCAAAGCAAATGGAAGTAATGACCAAAGTGAAACATTCATATTCTTGGAGTATCCTCTCTGGATATTTGAAGCAAAACTGACTCAATAAAAATATCCATCAGATTCTGACCTAAGGTAACCATATACACAATGTGAATACTGAAAAATCTATTTGGGATAGCGTGAACTCATTGTGATAGATATGTTTACAATTCTGAAGATTCCCATTTAGCGGAGGATAAACATTTGAAAGAGCCGCCTTCTTTATATCTATATGAATATAAAAACTAGCTTGAATTTTAGCATTCCTTCTTTTGACTCAGTCTAAACAAGAGGCAAAGAATATTGCAGTTTTACAAATCAGATGCAGCCAAACATCGGAAAGATCTTTCCTGAAAACACTAACTGGCCTCAACAACAGAAGGCTGGCAAGGGACTGACTGCTCACCAACAGCACGTGGATGCCACGATCTGGTTTCTAACACATCTCCTGAGTCCGAAAAACTGCTTTCCTGTCTTGGACCTGTCAAGGTCTCGGATACTCAGAGTCTAAATAGCCAGGAAACTCTAAAATCAGCCATGCTTCTAACAATGAGCCTAAAACACCGAGTAAAAAACAAAAAAACAACAACAACAAAAAAAACGCAACGCAAGTCTCAGATGCATCTTGTTTCCCACTCTACACTGTTAGGTGTAGGAAGAGAACAGGTTGTATGCATCTTTCTAACCCCAGAACCTAGGGTGCCACCTCGCAATTCTATTTCCTAAATGGTGTTCCAAAGAATGAACTGAATTAATCAGAACACAGTGCCATTCCTGGAGCATGCCACGTGCCTTCATGCCTTTGCTCATGCTGCTTCCTTTCCCAGGAGGACCCCGACTACGTTCCTCTGTTAGCACAAAAGTCGCCTACTGGTAAGACAGGAGAATCTGGAGGCTCAAGTCCTTCCTTACTCTGAGCCTCAGACAGGACTCCATGGCACTTGTCTGTGCTCCCTCAAGCTGTATTCATGTCTTGGGTGGGTCATTCCACTTTTTACGTGGTATTATACTGTCCAGTCTATTTCTTTGTCTGTCTTGCTAGATTATAGGACCCCCTAGAGGGCAGTTGCTTTCGTGGTTCCAGAACAGTGTAAGGAACAGGCACTCAGTAAACTTTAATATTCCATTTTCTAACTGTAGGCAGTTATACTCATCTTTTGTTATTTTCCCTTCCTTAAGCAATTAATATTCACCAGATAACCCTCTGGCATGAAAAGTGCCAAACACGGTAACATGCTAATGTGATCTGAGTTTTCAAGCACTTTTTGTATTCCTAATAACAACAAATAAGGGTCATTGTCCCATATGAAGCCAGTCACATTTTCAACAAAGTGAAGCCTTCTCTCGATACTTGCTCTTTTGCATTATGAAGAAAACATGCCAAAAAAAAAAAAAAAAGAAGCCTCTTACATCAGTTCTCCTCCTTGGAATAAGAATGTAAGAGAATCACATTTAGTATTCAGAACCTCTTGGGAGGGAAGCTTCAAAATGAGACGCATCATTAAAGTAATACTTAGAATAGCAATTCTAATCAACCGCTCTTGGCAAGAGTAGGATAAGTGACACGGCCAACCAGGTTTTCACTTCTATCCTTCACAAGAACTTTTTCTCCTCAAATTGGTATTTTAAGAAAAAAAATCACCAAAGAGGTCAACAGCAGTATAGATTAAAACCAAAGACATTCACATTTAAACTATCATTGCTCCATTATGCCGCTTTTTGGACCAGAAGATCGAAAAAAATATCTCAGTGATGAAGCAATTTTTGTGTTTTCCAGCACTTTTACCAGTGAATGGTATTCTTTCATAGCCATTTTGAAAAGTTATCTATCACAGAGTTTCTTGCTCATTAATCATTCGTTGGCTTTTATTTTTTAATTCAAAAAAATTGCTTCCCTCAGAGGGCAGGAATTCTTACAATTGCCATTTAAGAACCAACCACTCTAACATCTCTGCACGATTTTTTATGCAGAACAATTTAAGAAATCTTTGACTGCTATTTCACCAAATTTAATAAAATTCAAAATTTCTAAAGTTGATTCTTAAATGGCTTAAAGGTTTGTTACAAGTTACATAATCAAAAGAAAATGCTGACTAACTCCTTTTGAAAGAAACACATTTCCCCAATAAAAGTAGCTGTGCTGAATTTTTCCTGGGCACCTTTTTAAAACCTAAGCAGATCAATGCTCATAAAGGAACCGGAGAATACATTACTGGTTTCCTCATACCTCTTTTTAGGTTATAATGTCTTCCAAGAAAAAACAGTTTATATTCATTCACAGGGGAAGGGCTCTCCGAGGGGTGGGTCCAACTGCCAACTTTAAAACAGAAAATATAAAAAGGGCCAAAGCCAAGCAGTTTAAACCATACTGGCTTTAATGTTGCTTAATGAACCCGAGTCCATATGCAATCAAGTTTCACATATCTTGTTTAAGCTAAAATGTAGGTTTAATAGAAACAATTCTACCTCGGCTTTTAAACATGCCAAGTTTCTGCTATGCACAGCTGTGTGAAATGGCAACGCCAAGAAGTTTAAGTGTGTGATGCAGTTTCTGAAACTTTAAAGGCTTTTTTTTTTTTTTTTTTTTTAAAGAGTAAGAATCTAAACAACCTGAAAGGCAGACAGGGTACAGTGACAAAACAAATGAAAACAAAAATATATGTGACATACAAAAATCAAACCCAGACGGGAGGATCAGGAGGTCCAGGCTTGGCACTGTTCTAGAGAGCCAGAGAGGCCTCCTACGAGCCTCCTGTGCGCCTCAGTACCCTCCTGCGTACAAGGAGGGGAGAGGTGACAGGACAGCCATGGTCCTGGGTGCCCTCCTTCACCTCCTGCTAATTCCTCGGCCCACCCCACCTGTGACAGGAGCTCGACAGTTCCTTTATTTAAGTCTGTATTAGATTGATTTCTCTAAGGTTTTTATTTACAACAGTTGATTTAACTAAGGTTCTCGCAGCCACAGGTCTCGCAAAAGGGGGACAGGAACTAAAGCAAGCACTGCTGGATGTGTTAACAAGTTCGCCTCACTCTTGAGGGGGGCAAACAGGAGCAGAGGAGCACGTTTGCCACAGCCAGTGTGGTTCTCTGCACTATTTGTCAAGTGTGTCCCAGGATGGGGAGAAAGCTTGTGACATAGGAAGCAAGGGAATTGAGTTAGATCTTCATAGTTTTACTCCTCTAGGTTATTCATTTTAGGTGGCTACCACGCTCAGCGCTAGAGACAGCCTTCACAACCAAGCCTTTCTGTGGCCATTTGTCTTTTTTATTCACATCTTAATACAGGCCAAAGAAAAGAACTTTGAGGACAAATGGTGTCTGGGGGCATAGTTCGGAATAATTTAGTTGGAAAAGAAATACATTTCTAAGTAGAATTGTTAAAAGTTCTCTGCAAACCAAGTCCAAGAAGAGTTTATTTCAGACGGGCTGTTCACTGGTTGTGTGCCTAAGGGCTGAAAATCACCTGTGGGTAGATCTTGCAACTTGGCTCCAGGGCAGCCTTGCCTGATCACTACTGCTGTGCAAAATTTATCATCTTGTCCGTGGAGTTGATTAAAAAGCTTTAAAAAACCCTTACAGGATGCTGACCTGTTCCCACGTCTGTACTGGATTATCCCAGTCAGCTTCAGCACAGCACCTGCTCACCACCCAGGTGCAAGTCGCTGACCCACAGCTGCAGCCCATCAGTGGATAACCACTGGATAACAGTGTGAGTGTTCATTTTAAGGGGGTCAGAAGGAGGAACAAAGCACACAGGCTTTGGAACAAATCTCCCCCTCCTCCCACTTCCTTAAAGGGACCAGTGTTTACCTTATGGATGGATGGGGAGCACGATGGAGTAGTGCTTCTGTATGAAGCTCTGTAGGGAGCAGGGATGGGTCCATATTGTCTGTGGTTTTATCCATAGCACCTGGCATAATGCCTGCACTGTGGTAGTCACTCAATAAGGACTTGGCCAAAAAAGGAACCAGAAGGAGCTCTACCACGACTATGGTTTATCCCAGCATGCTGAATCTAAATATCTTGGGTGAAGAGTTGATAGATTTGAAGACTAGAAAGCAAAACTAGAAACAGCTTTTAGTCTGTCAGTACGTGAAGTAAAAAGAGTATGGCTTTGCAGGTTATGTTTTCTGTACAGCACTTCCCTGAAGTCGTTTGCATTTTCCCATTTTCTGGTTTTGTTTTTCACGTTAAAACCTTGCACTAGCAGCACTGAAAACAGTGTCAGGGGCTCATCCTGAGAAAGGGCAGTGAAGGGGTGTGGAAAGGAAATGGGGAGACCAGGTGAGTTTCTTCTCCGTGGCCCAGATCCCTCTTCTACATCCAGATGGTGGAAACGTCAGCACTTTAACCTGAGCACTACTGACTTCGCCTCGTCAAATCTGGTGTGTCTGGTAGTGAGTGGGGTGTGTGTGTGTGTGCACGCACGCGCATGTGTGTTTGCGGGTAGATGGGGTTTCTTTTCTTTACCTGATCCTTTAATTCTGACAGCTGGCCGGAAAGGTTAGTGACAAGCTTCATGGTGGACTCCAGCTTCTCCTGCAGGTTCCTCAGCTCATTCTGCTCCCCTTCAGAGTCACTGCTGACCAGGGACATGGCTCTCATCCTGGGGAACCAGTCAAGGTTTCTTTCCTAGAATCCACATTAAAAAAAAAAAAGTCATTTCCAAGAGTACAGACGAGAAAGGCGATGCTACCACGCCGTCTTGTCTCTGGGCTGTCTTTCATTAGGTTCTCTGTTCCAGGACTAATGTGCTGTGCATGTTACAACACCATTCAGTTAATACCTTTTTAATTGATTATCATTGAATCCTCAGTTCTTAGCAGTCCCTTTAGAACTAAATGCAGGGGAGAAGGTAGGTTTCTGAACAGCTTCCCCAATCTGTAAATAGGAGTGTAGCCACTGCGTGACCTGGCTAACGAGTGGTGGGTTTTAAAACTGTGGTAAAATATATAGAACATAAAAATTTCCATTTAAGTCACTTCTGTCTGTACAGTTCAATGGCATTAAGTGCATTCACAGTGTTGTGTAACCGTCGTCACCCTCTACACTTCGGGAATTTCATCTTCCCCATGTGAATCTCCAGCCCCATTAAACACTAACTCTCTCACCCCTGCCAACCACCATTCTGTTTGTCGTCTCTATGAATGTGACTGCTCTAGATACCTCACACTGTGCCGTGTATTTTTAAAAGCATTATACTTGGAAAATGATTTGCAAACACTCTGAAAGTGGAATGAATTTTGAGATCCCAAGTGTTCTGGCATTTACCGGATATGCGTATGAGCACATTTGCTTGGTAGGGGATTGTCAGGAGGCCGAAAATGGGGAAGGGGCTTCTTGTTCAGTTCCCCTGTGAGCTTACGGAAATTACTCTTCTATTCTTGTTTCCTTTTCCTCCCAGCTTGACGTCACTGACAGGTGCCATTAGTTGGTATAAGAAAGGCCCATTCAGTCTCCTCTCCCGTCCATCTCCATCCTTTCTTTTGACATCTACAGCTTACACCTGAAAACAGTTTTTCTCACTGCTGGTTAACAAATGGGCCAAGACTCCTCCTCCCACCTCTCTTCCTTCTGCCCACATAGGCCTTTCTCCTAAAAAGTATGCATCATAGATAAGTTCTGTACAGAGAGGCAGGAATGAATAGTAAAAGCTTAATCAGCACAAGATAAGGGGTGAGAAAATTGACTCAGTTCCATAACTATCTGGTGTCATTTCTAACTGGGACCATTTTGTACTTATCAAGATAAATTTTACTTGACATTCTAACACAAACCTTGCCATCCCCTCACCCCCTACCAACACACACACACACGCACACAATTTGTTATTGCTGCTTTGTATACACCAGAGGTCAGCAGAATTTTTCTGTATAGTATTTTCTGATAGTAAATATCTTTGGCTCTGTGGACCATATGGTCTCTGTCACAGTTACTCTGCTGTTGTAGCCCGAAAACAGCCATAGGCAATACATAAATGAATGAGTATAGCTGTTCCAATAAAACTTTATTTGCGAGTGTTGGTGGCAGCAGACTGGGTTTGGCCCATAGGCTGGAGTTTGCCAACCTCTGGCATATACAGAAGGCATCAGCGTACTTAGACAAAATTCCATGAGACATGTCTAAGTATCAAACAGCAACCAAGACAACCTAGCAATACTGAAGTCAAGTAAGAACGAGTTGAAAAATATTACAAAGAAGGCATACCACACTGGTAACATGGCATCACATGTCTTTGAAAATGTTTGGTTAAACATCTGGGGAGTCTGGTAAGTAGGAACTCACTAGCCCTTCAGCATCATGAGTGCAGGAACTACCTTAGTATAGTGACCAAAACATCGTAGACACTTGATAAATACTTGTGGAAGGGAGGAACGATAGACCCTCTCTGTTGCCTGCATGGGCCCTCATAGCAAATGCTTTAGTGGTGAGCCTCAGTGGCTGAGAAAGATTGCTGAGGAGAAAATGATCTCTACCTTACTGTACCAAACACCCTGTGATCAGCACGTCACTCACATGCAACAACATCAACCTGTGTTCATCTTCATCAGTCTCCCCCCACAGTGTTATGGGCAAAAAGACCATTCCATAAAATATTCCAAAGATGACCAGCCTAAAAATCTGAGCTGTTTCTATGTCTGTAATCAGTTTTCTGTGTGTGTCTAGAGCAAAGACGAGGAGAACAGATATGTGAAAACATTTAAGCTTGGCATTGCCACTGAAAGGCAGCTAAGGTAACCTGTCACTGATTATATTCACTGCTCTGGTGTCTTTCAGACACGGCACACCTTCCTACTGAAGAAACATCCCATGTTCAGTGTCCAACTCTACATGAGGAATGAACCTAAGTGTGCAGAAAAGGGCACACATAGGGCGCAGTGGCTGTTGCTTACTTACTGCCACTAGGGTGAATGAACCTGTGGAGGGAGGAGAAGGTGTGGGCTGGGTTGATGAAACTGTGAGCCCAAATCACTAACGCAGTAAGATCACACACGCACAAGGCCGGCCCAGCTATGAGACGCCCCACGGACCCACAATGACTGCTATAAATTTTCACACACTGATCTCCTCCCAGGAGAACAAGCTGAAGAGGAAAGATCCAATGTTCTGCTTACACTGTCAGACTCAGAGGTGCATACTGGACACACCGTCCATTGGGACATGACAGAATGTCATGCCAAGGAGTTCAGAGATCACTAATGCCATTGCTGTGTCTATAATGCAGCAAGCTGAGCCCTGAAAGAGAAAGTAACTTGTCCTTGGGAGCAAGGGACCTAACAAATTCCCTGTATTTCAAAGGGGACCCTGAAAATTATCTGGTGTTGATGAACTGTATACTGCTAATATTTAGTGTATTTTGAGGTGAAATATTTGCTAGTTCTTTGGATTAAAATAAAAAGTTAAAGCATTATTTTAGTTCCCTGGAAGGACATATTTTAAAAACAACATATTCAACCTATATTAAGTGGTCACTTATGTGCATGGTGCTGAGGGTAGAGCAGTGAGCCACATATACATGGTCACCGCCTCCTGGACCTCGTTAAAGTGGAAATGGCTTTCATACCTGAGTATGAGATAGGCTTTCTGCCATCACAGCACTTGCTATTTAATGAGCGTGGACATACACATTACAAAAGAAGAATGGGATAAAGCAGGCTATGCTCTGTCGAATGAGTGGCAGAGAGTAGGGCCAAAGTCAGAACTGACCAGCAGTGATGATGACTAGTTGGAATTCTCTTGGGCGAAGGCAGGGACCTGAAGGGTCAGTGCTTGGCCGAACTAAACGCAAACATGAGGGCCTTCTCAACAAAGTGGAGCTGGCCCAGGGAGGAAACCAGTTTGGATGGAAGTGGGGGCAGCTCAGAATGCAGAATACGTGATCGAGGTGTAGGACAGACCAATGCACGTAACAGGAGTAACTCGGGGCACGGAAAAAGAGGGCCTGGGTCAGGGGGCGGCCAAGGGAAGGAGAAGCAAAGAGGTGGCCTGGAGCCCCTGTGAGCCTGCCTGCCCAGATGCGGGGAGAGGGACATGCACACACTACTTTAGCAGGTGGCAGAACTCACCTGTAGCTACTTCACTACTGACCTGCAAATTACTGTTCAACTGTGTAAACTGGTTAGAGTGTGTATCACAAGTCTGACTTGCAAATCTTTCCTATGTTCATTTGCTTAGCAAGCCCCCCACAGAATAGACAACACACATTTCCAACACACATTAATGAAGTCTTCCAAAGAATACAGAAAATCGATGCAAGAGTCTGCACACAGATTAAAGTTTAAGCAACAGTTTCTTTGCTGTATTCCAACAGCAAGTGACCAAATGACTACAGATTAAAAGAAATTTTCCATTGTAGGTTCCCACCGTCTTTGGCAGATTTGATTCCTGGACTCCCACAGAAGGATTTCAGAGAAGTCTTTGAACAAATGCAAGAGGCACAAACTTCACCTAACAACTGTTTACTGAAACATGTGTAACTTCTGTGCCTGGCATAGGGCTGAGTGCTGAGGGTCTGAAGCCAGACAGGTCCCTGCCCCCAAGGTGCTGTAGTGCACAGCCTGCAGTCATGGAGCAGGTCTTAGGGCATGGTTCTTCACTTGTGAGGGACTCCACAGCTGTGAGCACCTAATGAGAACCTGCTGATCAAGTGAATGGGGCCGACCAGTATCAGGATGGCTGCTACTGGCATCTGTGCAACTCGTCTCCACAGTGAAGAAGATGATGGACTCAGATCCTCTTTGTTTTTGCTCTATTTGTGCTTCTGTACATGAGATACCGGTAACCCTGGAGCATGAAGGCCTTTCCTAAGGAGTACATAAAGCCACAGAAAAGAATGCATCTTTCTTAGAATGTCCATATCATTCAATGATGAATTATGGAAAAGACTTTTATATTGAACTCAAAATATGCCCTGCGACATAACATGAAATTAAATCACAATTTCAAAATAAAATCTAAGATTTTAAAGAAGTGTCATATTTGCCGCCTAAGGCCACTTTGGGCCATGTGCCCTGATCCCAGGGATAAACCTTCATTCTGCATCTCAGGAGAATCCTTCATTGTAGAGCTAGGACAAGGATTTCCTGGTCTAGATAGTGACTGGTTACCTACCACCTTACAGGCTCTCCCTCGATGCCTTCCTCCAACTCTACTATCTAACAATGAAGTCTAACGTGGGGGAATCCCACTAAAATCCTAAACCAGAGGAAACAAGGTCAACTGCAGAAATTCAGGTACTCTGGATGGCATGTATTATTAGCTTTTCTGCACTGATGTACGTAAATCCCCAATTCTGAGGTTCTAGGTATTGCCAGGAATTTAATTAAAACATTACCCTGAGCTGTTAAGTCAAATCTCAAATTACCAAGGAGTACCTAGTGGCTAAAATTAATTAGCAATTCTAGCCAAACTATTCTCTCAACTTCCATTTGCTTGGGTGCCCAGCACAGGAGGATATGCTGGGATGCAGGGTGAGGTTGCTCTTGGACACGCTCCCCCTCTGTAGACGATCTGAATCTCTGATGGAAAATGTTGAGGCTACCCCAATAACTAGTGGAGGGGCCAAGAGCACACCTGAATCCAGTTAGTTTGTATTGAGCTCACACCTTCATACAAAATGCCACGCTTGCTTGCGTGCTACAGGACTTCAGTGAAGCCTGTCACGCAGGGCTCTCCAGCTAGTCAGAGTCTGAAGGTCTCAAAATGTTTGCAGAATGCTACCTTTATCTGTAGTGAAGATCAGAAATATGTCTCAGTGTCCTGGCTTCTGCATTTTTAAAGAAAATCATCTTCAACTGCAGCATTTTGTTTATACATGAATTCAGTGTGTGTGTGTGTGTGTGTGTGCGTGCGCGTGCGCATGCACACGCAGGAAGGTGGGGCTGGGGGAGGCTGTTGGTTCACTGAGCGTCTGTCAGCAGCCTCTGTCACTCTGGGTCTGAGACATCCCTCCGTGCTTCCCTCGCTTTCCTTGCTGCTGGCATCTCACATACCAATGTCATTAGGCACTGTCTGCCCCGGTCCTTCTACAATCCAGCCCGTGCAGTTCCCGTCACAGCAAGTGCTTCCTCTGTCAGAGCAGACAAACTGACTGAAGCCACAGCCGGAAGCACGCTGACCACAAGTGCTAAAGTTCTGGTTAGTTCTTTTCTAGGTAAAGTTGGAAAAGTCCCTGTAAAGGCAAACATTGAAGTTTTAGACACGGGGGCGGTACTGACCTCTTGAAATGTCCTTGACTGGAAAGAGGGAGGGTGTGTGTGAGTGAGAGACACAGAGACAGAGAGGAGGAGGAGAGGAAGTTGGATTGTATGATGCAAATGCTAATCATTCTGAGAAGAGTTTTTTTTTTCCTTCTTCCCAGGTTCAACTGAAGAGGCTGTTCTAAGAAAGACTACTGAGGTAATCAGTCACCTTCCTCAGAGAAAGTCTGCTCAGGTAGTCTTGTTTAGTTTACCACGTAAACAATGGAACATTTATTGTTGAATCCTTTATTCTTTTATAGCCTGATGGGAGACTTGACATTTTTTGGTGGGGGCATGACGGACAAAGAGACCTGGGGCTTCTCTTTCCTTCATAGTCCCCTCTGAGGAGATCAAAGAAGGTAAACACTGTCCTTTCGATCAGACAGCAAGTGTGTTTCTACTCAGCTTACCAAGCAGGAGGACACACCAGGGTTTCCCAGAATGCCTAGGGACACCCGGGATGAGAGCGCAGAGGAGGCAGGGGAGGACTGAAGATCATCCTTTAACTTTCCAAAAGCAGGAATATAGGACACTTAATAAACCTTAAATCACTTGCCCCTTTTGTAGGGAGGGGTGATTATTTTTTACTGAACGGGACTAAAATAATCCGTAGAGCTCACTTTTTTAAGATCACAGCAAAAAATAGAACCCCAAATCTGTTGCTTTCGGTGAACAACGGTGATAATGATCTCTATGCTCAGTGACTCTAAAAGCTATTTATAGCAATTATTATACATTCAGAAAAAACTGAACTAAAAAATGAATCCCAGGTATGGACATGTTAAAAAGATCATGGGGTTGGGGAGAGGGAGGGATGAATAAATAGGGGGAGCACAGAGGGTTTTTAGAGCAGTGAAGCTATTCTGTTTGCTGCTGTAATGGTGGATACATGGCATTATACATGTGTCAAAACCTATAGAAGGTACAACACCAAGAGTGAATCCTAATGTAAATTCTGGTCTGTAGCTAATAATGTGTCATCTTGGTTCATCAGTGGAAACAAACATACCACGGTAATGCAACATGTTAATAACAGGAGAAACTGGGTGGGAGTGAGGCAGGGAGGGGGGAGTGTACAGGAACTCTGTGCTTTCTGCTCTGTTTTTATGTAAACCTAAAAGTGCTGTAAAAAATAAAGTCTATTAAAAACAATAGATCCCACACCTGGAATTTGTTGGCCGGTCCCTAATTCAAGGATCCACACTTCCCTCTGTTCCCAAAGTAGAGTGAACTCAAACCACTTACGGTATCCCTGCATTTCACAGGTGTGTTTCTACAACAGCCTGTGACATGAGTTTGTCATCAGGAAGAGTCATAGCCTGAATCAAAAGCTCAGGACTTGAAGTCACAGTGCCGCAGTGTGTTATAGACAGTGCACCAGTGAATGGGTTGGCTAACCAACCTGGGTCTCCGTTTCTGTATTGTGAGAAAGAGATCATGGGCTACCCCCACAGAGTTACCGTGTAAGGATCAAATGGATGTGACAAAGTGTCCCATAAGCTGGAAAGCATTATGCAAAAGTATTCTAAATCGGTGTCATCAGCCTAAGGTCTCAAAGCTAGTGTGGAGTCAACCCTGCAATCCACATTTTGACTCCAGGTGTAGTGACTCCGTGTCAGGTTCCTTCCTTTCTAAGGCATTCCATTTTAGAGATACAGAATTTCTCTTTTGGCAATGCAGCCATATGAAGGTTTCCCACACGACTCCCAACTTTAGGTGTCAGAGTGGTTCTGTTCTTGAGCTCTGAATGACATTACCAAAGCAGGCCACATTATATAATCTTCAGCTGGGCTGGAGTGACCACTTACCCTTCCCAGACTCGGTTAATAGTTGTTCTTGGATGATACAGTGTAACAAAGACAGGCCCTCGCCAGCATAGAGAACCGCACCCATTTCTGATGAAATCCCTAAGAAAAGCCAGCTGCAGAATCACTGGTTTAAGTCATTGTAGGCCCTCAGGTGAAGCGATTTCTGGGCCCCCACTGAGACTCTGAGAAAGCAATGCTTGCCACTCCAAGTGAGGAAGCCAGGGTCCACACAGAAGAGAAAGGTGGGGCTGGCAGACGGTGTCGGACAAGGCATGGCTGACCCACTGGAGGTTCCTAATAGAGAACACTTAGGGTAACCTGCCCCCGGTCAAGCTGGTTCATGACCCTTTGCCCCGGCAGCTTCCCCAGCATATTCAGTTAGCTATGAAATCTAGCAGAACATTCCCAGAGGTTATGTATGGGATTTTAGCAATTTTTATTGTTTTTTTCCTGTATTCTTTTCTGGATTCCATGACTTTTTCCAGAAGTCTACTTAAACAGCTTTCCAAATTTCTTTGCTGTTGTTTCAGGAAAAAATACTTGGGATTTTTGAATATACATACACATACGTATACACTCATAAACCTCACTATTGTAAGGTTGTTGTATGTAAGCTGCTTCATATACAACAACGTTCCTTCGAACAGTGTTAGTCATCCTATAGGTCTACATGTTGTCAAACTCTTGCCTGAAATGGTTTTCCTTAAGGTCAGCCCTGCCTAGATAGACTCCCAGAAAAGAGAAAAATGTCATCTCTCTCACCATTGATACGACTCCAGTGAGAGCTGAGGGGCAAGTCACTGGCACTGTTACTGACGTGGGAGTGGCTTGGAGGAAATGTGCCACAGAGCTCCAGCTCTTAAGAGTGAAAGAGATCACCAGCTGTGTGCAGGCTCTCTAAATTCCTCAGTCCTTTCCAAATCCCTCATTTTACTGACCTGACCTGGGCACCCTGACCCCAAAGATTTACCGGCTTTGTTCACACAGGCGTCCTCTCTCCCTCCTGACACCCTCATCCCTGCTCTAGACAGAGACCCTCTTTAGTAGTTCACGGACTCCTACCACTGCTTTGCAAGTTGCTTCGCTGAATTACAATGCTAAAGACGGCCTAAGAGACCCTGATTCAACTTTCTCACTTTATATGGGGGTCACACCAAGGCCCTGAGAAGAAGTGGGTGTGTGAAAGGAGAAACTGAGAGCCTTGTCCACTGTGTAATGTGCACATACATAGGACTATACCTAAATACTAATAAATCTTCATTCTCACATTCCTTAGTGACTTGTTAGACGGCTTCATTATAAAGGGATATCTTAAAGAATCCTAAACGTATGTACAGTTGACGCTTGAACATCCCAGGGATTTAAGGGTGCTGACTCCCACAGGTGAGAATCTGCATATGATTTCTGACTCACCCAAAACTTAACAATTAGCCTACTGTTGCCCAGAAGCCTTACCAAGAAACAGTCTATATGATTTTCTGTGTTATATGCATTACATACTGTAATTTCGCGGTCAGGTAAGCTGTATCAGGTACAGTCAGTCTTTAGATTCAGGGGAAAACGGCACTCTAAGTGCAGTGAGGGTGTCTGAGACTGCAGGGGGCAAGGAAGGCAGCTCGGTGGGCGCTGTACTGGGGGAAAGAGCAGGAGGCAGCTCCAGTATGTGGAAGGGAGGAAAATACGTTTTTGCACTTCCCATGTCTGCTGAGTTGGGGGTACAGACACATCAATTCCTACATACATCCCTGGACTAGCTCACAATGGGGAGACTGTCACCAGTGGTGGAGGCAGTCCTCAGCTGAATGATCCAACAGTTGCTACGTACCTCTCTCAGATTCTGCACAGGCTCTAAGTGAGCATAGATAATCCTTTCCGATTATGGCTCTGTTCCACTCATTCTTACCAATGGTGCCTTGCACACCCTCTATGAAGGTCAGAGTGTGGAAAATTCAGAGAGAGCTGGGAGGTCAGTGCAGACCAAGGGTCCCAATGCCAAGTGCTTCGTAAGAAGAAGCACGCACCTGTGAAGTGCACAGCAGGGCAAGGGGTGACTTGTTAGCCTCTAGACTAGAGGGCAGAGTGTGTGATAAGCCTGGGCGGGGAATCATAGCTCAGCAACTGCTCTGTGCAGCCGCCACGGACAGAAACCCAAGCTCAAGTGCAGAGGGTGGGGCGCGAGCATGTCTGGCTGGTTGGGAGGCGAGTCTGGTGCTGCTGACACGCTGTTTCCAGCCACCGAACGGCAAGTGCCAAATCCCTCTCCACTTCTCCCTTGCTCTAATATTCTCGCGCTCTGCCATGGTGTCAGCTAACTTCAGAAAGCATTCTGGGAATTGTACTGGAGCACAGCACGGGCTGTATCCACACCCACGGCGAAGGGCTTTCGGAGCCTGAGGGACATTTAATCAAGGCTTGTGGCCCCCCAGGTTAGACAGGGAAGCTGACGATGCAGCACTACCAGCGCTGAAATGTCTGTCCCTGGAACTGATGAAGGCACTCTCTTCCTCTCAGCAACCTCACCAGAATCCCAGAATAAAAGTCGGAATCCGGGGCGCCTGGGTGTCTCAATCGGTTAAGTGTCCAACTTCGGCTCAGGTCATGATCTCGCGGTCCGTGAGTTTGAGCCCCGCATCAGGCTCTGTGCTAACCACTCAGAGCCTGGAGCCTGTTTCCGATTCTGTGTCTCCCTCTCTCTCTGACCCTCCCCCGTTCAGGCTTTGTCTCTGTCTCAAAATTAAAAGTTAAAATTAAAAAAAAATATTAAAAAAAAAAGTCGGAATCCACTACTGCACATCTGCACGAAAGCACAGGGTTTCCATGTCACTCAATCACCAGCCAGGACATGCCCGCCTGGCACGCGATGAGGCAGGTGGTTGTGGGGAGGTGGGTGCACAGCCTGCTGACCTCTTCTGGCACTGTACTCTCAGTCCTGGCTACTATGGACTCCCCATTTCTCATTGCCTTGAGCTGAGACCCTTCGGGTTGACGTTTACGTTCACTTTTCTGCTCACAAGACCACTACCAGCATTCCCTCCTTGCAGACGGACTCGCTCTTATCTGATTATGAAACACAAGTAATTCCTGGTTTCCATTTCTGTCCCGAGTTATTTCCTTTCGTCCCTTCACGGAGCTCCTCGGGCAGAAAGCTGCTGCCCTCACTTCGCCAAGTGCCCGCCTGCAGATTTTCTAGCACCAAGGCTCTCTCTTGGGTCAAGAAAGGTGCAAGACTTGGGTCATTTCCCCTCTTAAAAGAAGTCGGTGACATGTAGGTAATTCAGTTCCTATTCTGATCTTTTGCCCTTGTTAACACACTGCTTTCTGACGTGCTTGCTTCCTGTGTCTTCTTAGCTAATACAGATCAACATGATCTGCTAAGGCCAGATGCCCTATGGCTTTGAATCTTCTTACAGTATTTCCTCATCGATGTTTAGTAGTGCTTTATTTGCTAAGAGAATTTCTTTGCTTGGAAAATTTAACTGGAGGTATTTTCTAGCAAAAACATCTCCCTCTTACATGTTTTTTTAAGAGTTTATTTCTTTATTTTGAGAGAGAAGAACAGACAGAGCATGTGATCGTGGGAACAAGTGGGGAAGGGGCAGAGGGAGAGAAAGAATCCTAAGCAGGCTCTGTGCGGTCAGCATGTTGTTCCACACGGATCTTGATCTCATGAATCATGACATATGACCTGAGACTAAATCAAGGGTCGGATGCTTAACTGACTGAGCCACCTCCTACATAGTTTTTTGATGCAAATTGAAAAGGGCTTTCAGCAAAGCATTTTCCAGGAATGGTGGCTCCTGGACTCTCTCCCCTTATGTGAAAGAAGGCACTATTTTCTAACAGCATTTCACCAGCTGCCATGACACTACTTTTGATTTAGAAGATTGTTTCTTTGCTTTTATATCCCCATACAACTAGTTTCTGAAGAGGTCAAGTGAATTAATACAAGCTGGAACAAATTGAGAAATCTCTAGTGGAATAGTGTGTGAAAGCATGCGTGGGGAAGGGAAGGAGGAAGACAGAGAGAGAGGAAGAGGGAGGGAGGGAGGGAGAGCGTGGTCTGTTTTCACTATGAGAAAAAGTCAGCACCAGGCTTAAAGGATGATGGATCAGACACACTAATTATCAGGGAGTTCTAACCATTCAGATGAGTCACTCGGGTGTGGAAGCCCATCTGTCTATGGTTCTGGTGAATTTTCCTTACCCTTACCTTAGACACCTCTCCCCCCTCAAATAATGGCCACAAAAGGAACGAGCATTCCCTGTTCCAGGCTCAGGTGAGGGTAAGGAGGTTCATCAGATTTTACCGAGTTAGAATTAACACGTAATTTCAGATACACCCTTCGTAAGAGTTGGCTCTGCCTTTCCTGAACTCCCGTCATTCCTATAACCCCTGTAGTATTCGACTCAAGGGGGTTCCCTAACTAGCTGTGCTGGCGGCAGCTCAGGGAATTAACACTCATCTACTGCACAGAGCTTCTATCTTGTTGATTTATGCGTTAGCCACTCAGCACTACCCAGGGGGTCAGTCTTCCTCACCCTTCTCCCTACCCCCAGTGGGGCCTTTGCT